ACATACATACATACATACATACGGCTTCTATGGGGGTTGCGAGTTCACGTCACCGCTTAGACTGAGACCCAACATTATTATCCAGTGTACAGCGCCTAATTTCGGATTTGAGGTTCTGGAAGGGACCCATACCACGACCGACTAGGGAGCAACACCCTAAGGCCGTAAAGCCTTAAAACCTGACAGCCTGAACGCCCTAATACCCAAAACATACTGCTAGTACCGATAGTACTAGTAGTGCTACTAGTTGTACTAGTAATTACTACTAGTACTCTTCGACCGAGTCTACTTAATTACTACTACTGCTACTGCTACTGCTACTGCTACTGCTACTGCTACTACTACTACTACTACTACTACTACTACTACTACTACTGCCACTACGGCTGCTGCCGCTGCTGCTGCTGCTGCTGCTAGTACTCCTACTCCGCCTGCGAAGTGTACATGAGGGGTTCCTGGGAACTCCCTAAACACCGAACCCCTAAACCCTATAGGCCCAAAACTTCTACACCAACAGCTCTGAAGCCAAAAGCCTCAACCTCAAAGCCCAAATCGCACCACCCTACAATGGAATAATTTGGTAGGGCACCTATGACTCTAAATACTGGTATCCATGGTTGAAGTACTTGTGACGTTACTCATAACCGTTGGATGCCGGTGAACCTCCACGCGAACCTTATCCGCAAAACCCAAATCCTAAATCCTGAGCCACCAGAATCCCACAAAATTTTAAACTTTCAAACCCATAAACCAAAACGCTCCCCCGCAAAGCCTAATCGCCAAAAACCCGAGTCGAAGAATTTGGAGTATCCCGGCACCTATGAACCCCATTTAAACCCTGTGGAATCCTGATCTTAACATTCAAGCCCTACACCCTGAACCTGCGAAAACTGAAACTGAGAATCCCACTCCAATTATTCAAAACCCTAAACCCTTGCAACCCTAAACCCTAAACCCTAAACCCCTAAACCCCTAAACCCTAAACCCTATCCTATTCTAAATACTCAGGGCCCCCCGTTACCGCGCCTCTGGACTTCATGCTCTTAGAGGCCTTCGAGCGCTTCCGTGCCACAGCATTTTGGGTGCCTGCCCAAGGCTTTTCCGTAGGCCTCTGTGTACTCGTATACTGAAAAGAAGACAGAAAAGGTAGTTTAATGTGTAGTGTACATGTATACATCCTCATAGATTGGCTTCGGATCGTTTTATTTGCGAGGTCCGGCGTTGAGATCTCCACATCTTTCTTAGCATGCCAAAACCCTCACTGCAAACTTTCGAATGTGTCAGCTGGCAGTCCAGAGAACACCACACACCCGGCTTATTCAACCCGCTTGAGGTGTCTTTAGGGTCTAGATTTGTCTGGGGCTGTGTAGGACTTGAAAGCTTGAGGTGAACCGCCTGTCTGAACTCCTCAACTCGCACCCCTGAAGCCTACGGCTTGTAACACCTGTAGGGTCTACATGGGCCAGGTAGGGCTTCGAACAAGGGTTTCGGGTCAATCTGCAACACATCACCCCTTCAGCACCAGCACCCTTCAACCGCCATTGCGAAAGCCTGCTGCAACCGACTGTGGGAGAGTGGAAGAGTCCTGGAGGGATTTGACACGGAAAAGCATCATCCTCTCTATGGCTTCCGTTGATAGTAGTACAATTTACTGCTGTTACTGCTGCTGCTGCTACTACTACTACTACTACTACTACCACTACCACTACCACTACCACGACCACGACCACGACCACTACCACTACCACTACCACTACCACTACCACTTACACTACAACTACCACTACCATTACCAGTACCACTACCAGTACTACCAGTACTACTAGTA